TATTTATGGTCCATGTGGGGCGTGCCCGCGCAATTTATTTGTTGTTTCCAGGCAGGGACATTCAAGTGGTAGATTATGGGGTTCTGGATCTCTCCATTGGGGGCGAATATCGGGGTCTTTCATTTAAAAGCTGGAAAGTCTGAATTAGTAACAAACCTGGTTGCATGGCCTTGGGCTGAGACTGTGGGCCTGCATCTCCCCGGCCTCCTCTCCTGCCCTTCCCGTTCGTTCTGCCCCAGCACACAGGCCTCCTCCCAACCTCCTACCTTGGCCACTCCCGCTCTCTCGCCCAGCAGACACATCCCCCTTCACAGCTCCTTGGCTCAGGTCCCTGGTCACGTCCCCTCTTCAGTGGAGGCCCCCTTCCCTGCCTAAGCTAGCCCCCGACATCAGTTTGCATCCCCTGCTGGGCCTGATTTGTCACCACCTGACACGACAGTACACGTCGTTTTGCCTCTATGCTAACTGTCTGCTTCTCTCCCTGGGGCCTGAGCGCCAGGAAGGCCTGGATGCTTGCTCACTGCTGTATCCCCAGCACCCGGGACAGAGCTGACGCACAGTAGGGACTCCGCAAAAGCCACTGAAAAGTAACAATCTAATGTACTGTCTGTGCTATAACGTCACGGCCTTAGGCTCTGAGCAGGCTTTTGGCTGCCGGTCGGCAGACCGTTTCTACCCTGCTTGTCCCGGCATTCCCGGGGCCGCCCGTGCCAAGGTACTCAACACACACTGAATGAAGGAAGGAAAGAGCAAAGTACACAGCTCGGATCTGGGGGCTGCGTGTGGGGGCGGCAGGTTTCCGCCACCATCCAAACGGGACTGGGGGAGGGTCTCGCTGTCTGCCGACGGCAGGCAGGAAATCAGAGCCTCTGTGCCAAAGAAATCCCCTCAAATCCCCTCACTTGAGACAATGATCAAACATGGACACAAAGGAGATAAGTAGGCTGCCCGGCACGGGAGTGAGGGTCAGTGGGTGTGGATGGCGCTTCACAATTTTGGGGGGCTGTCAACCAACCAGCCACCCACTACTGAGGATCCTCGCCCAGTGGCACACTTACCTTGTAGAAGAAGTGGAGCCCTTGGCTGAAAGAGAAAAGAAACCCAAACCAGTTATTTAACCTAGAAACACACTGTTCTTACATAATTTTTTGCGGGGTGGGGGGTGGGGCAAAAGTTTGCCTCCAGGGAGGTTGTGAGGAATTGTTGAAATCACCTCCTCTGAACCACAGGAATCCCCCCATGCGCACTCCAGTGGGGTGGTCTAGTATCTTCCATCAGGAGGACCAGTGGGCTGGGCCGTCCCCCTTTCCCACCTCTGGGGGTTGCCAAGGTCAGATCCCACAGCAGCCTTTAGCCCAGGAGAGGCCATCTGCCCTGCCTCTCTCTGGCCTCACTTCCACTCACCAGATACCTTATCTGAGACCCTATGGAAACCTGGGTCCCAGTCAGGGCCCTTCACAGCTGAGGAACAGATTCTAGCAGGGCTAGAGTTGGGAGAGCAGGTGCAAATCCCACGTCTGCCCCCAGCTCACTCGCTGTGTGACCCTGGCTGGTCACTTCCCCTCTCTGAGCTTGGATTTCAGCTCTCCAGCTCACAGAGTTGGGCTGGACATCTATTTATTTTCATGTCACCACTTTCTAAAAAAGGATCTTAGGTGGGAAGAAAGGGTCCATCTGGTTCAGAGATTTTAAGCCTATGATATGGGCATACCACAGAGAAGCTGCTGTGGTTTGGCCACTATTTGACTCCCATCCCACTGTAAAATTGTAATTAAAAAGCAACCTGCACACCAAATGCGCGCTGCACTGCATTCTACCAGGCTAGAGGCTGCCACAATGCAAGAATTCTCCCTGCCAGGTGAATGCCTGGTGCCTGGGCAGGTAGTGGATTTTTTTAGGTGAGTTGGTACCACGTGGGAAGGCTGCAGCTCAGCATCCAATGTCTGAATGGAAGCTGATGGGCTGCAAAGTGCTGGAACACGAGCTCTCTCAAGGAGTCCAATCATGGGACACCAATCACCCTCATTTTATACCAGAGAGACTGGGGGGCTGCCTAGGGTCACACAGCTGGTAAGCAGTAGAGCTGAAATCAGGACATTTCATTGCAAGTATTGATGTAGAGGACGGGCAGACCCCTCCAGGGACCACCAAGGAGAGAAGGGTCATCTCATTAAGGCAGAGATGATGTGCAGAGTGGTCCCACACACAGTCCCTCGGACCACGTTTGAATCTTGGCCCCAACGCTTAGCAGCTGAGGCCCTGGGCAAATTTTGTAACTTCTCCATGCCTCAGTTTGCTCCTCTGTAAAAGCGGGTTAGTAAAACCACCGCAGAGGTCTGTGGTGAGAAAAGTGCGTGGCAGGTCAGAAGAACGGAGTGAGCGCTAGTTGTCACTGTCACCAGAGCCTATGTGTGAGAGCTGGGCTCTGCACACAGCTAGACCCGTCACTCAGGGGTTGGGTGGCCTTCGCCAGCGTCTGCAGCTCTCTAAGCCCCGTTCATCTTCTGGAACACCTGGTTCCTAACACCCAAGCCCACAGTAATGAGTGAGCATGTGCCCGAGCCTGACAAGGCGCCCAGGGATGAGCCTGCTATAGCGGGGCTGGGATTTCACTCATGGCCACCATGAATGCCATCTGATGGGCTGGCCTGTCACCCTCAGTGGGCAGTGGAGCCTGCTTCTCTGCCCTTCCCCTATGATGTGAAGGCTTGGACTTTAGGGAAAAACCACCAGGTAGATAACCTGGCAGAAACTCTTCCAGATTCCAGAGAGGTGGGGCCGGATGCCAGCCCTTCTGGATGGAGGGCTAAGGCTTGGCCGGTACTCACAGCTGAGTCCTGCCAGCCAGTTCAGGGGGGGAGGGAAGCTTGGGGAGCAGAGGGGAGGGGTACAGAGATGTGTGACTAATGAACAACGTGCCCATCTGAGCCCAGCCGAGGGGTCCGGGTGCAGAAATGCAGCTCAGGACAGCGCTTTGCGGTCTGTGGCATATGGTGGGTCACGACCAGCATTTTAAAGAGAATTTAGTATAGAATATGACAGAAAAGAAAATATCAGAGTTCCAATTTTATCTACAGGAGTGTGGTGTGCCTTGAGTGGTGACATGACATGTGTTTCTATAACTCGTAGTCAAATAAGTTTCAGAAACACTGGCTTAAAATTGTCTCCTCCATGAGTGGCAAAGAGAACATGTATTTTCTGAGGTCTGAGAACGTTATTTTACTTGTGAGCTTATTTGTGTTTCGTGACTCTCCTCCAAGGGAGGCACTGCTATACCCATTTTACAGATGTGGAAACTGAGGCTCGCAGAGGCCAAACTGATTGTTTAGAACATATAACAAGGCTGTGGAACCCTGGTTTGTCTGATTCCGAAGTCAGAAGCCTTGGCAAAGCAACAACTTCACACACAGGCATGCACACAAACGAGGGTATGATGTCCTAGATTTGCACTTGGACCCTCCTGCTGCGGAGTCCAAGGCTGTGTGCCTTGCTGCCATGACGACAGCTTTCCGGGAAGGCGGCGCCTGTTTCTGGGCTCGTGTACAATACTGACAACAGGAGCTAACGTTTACTGAGCACCCTGCCATGTGCCAGGCACTCTCGAACATTTTACATGACATCGCCCACTTAATCTTTTCCAGCAGTCTTGGAGGAGGTGCTGGCATGATCCCACCTCCTCCCGCCCCCCGCCTAGGGGCTGGGCATGTACCTGGATGGGTAAGAGGAAAGCAGGTGTTTGCCGGGGAAAATACTGTTTCCTTCCTGAGACCCCCTTCGCGCCCCGGCATCTCCCTGCTTCCCAATTTGGTAGGTGTCCCAGGAGGATGTGAGGCCTGGAGCAGTGACGGCTATCTTGCAACCACAAGGTGAGGCTGAGGGAAAAACCCACCCAGGGCGGGGGGCGGGAGGGGATACCATCCACATTCCAGCCTGGCGAAGGTCTGTGTCAGCCTCGACACTGTTACCGCTGGGCTTCTTGTGGAAGTAACTGGACTCCCTCACGGCTTCAGCTACGTTAGCCCAAAGCACCCTCATGGCCTCTCCCTCGGGGAAGGACAGCCCAGGGGCCAACTCTTGGGGAGGAAGAGGAGAACACACGCACCTTTCTTCTGTCGGATTCGGAGGAGGTATAGGGCTGCAATCAGCAGAGCCACCAGCAAGGCACAAACCACGCCCACCACAATGAAGATACTCTGGCTGTCATTCGTGTCTAGGGACCACAGGGAATAGAGGCTTCACGTATGCAAATTAAAAACAGTGAAACTTAATACCCACCACCCCTTTTCACTGCTAGGTAGGCATCATTAACTGAGAACCTCTGGCCATATATATTTTGAGCCACACAGGCACGTTCGTGGGTAGGCACACACTTCCCCACATGGGTCACCCGTGGGCTGTGCAAAAACCATGCCGAAGTGCCAGGAGGGAAAATGTTCGTTGCTGATGGCGATGGAGGAAGCCTTGACCTCAGGACGTGGGCAGAAATCTCACACCCAAGGAACAGAAACATGTTCCTTTTCACCTGGAATGAACCAGAGTGGCCACCATGGCAGCCCAGGTCTGTCTGAAACTCTGAGTCGCAACTGGCTGTCACACACTGGGAGGGGGGATGTCAAGGGATGGGGACCAATGGCAGACGTGTGCAGCTGGTTACTGGACTCTACAGAGTTCTCAGGAGCTGTCTACTCATCTGTGCTGGGGACTGGGGCAGAGGAGCTCGGAACCCAGGTTAGTTGTAATGGAGACTGTGTGGGTAGGGCTGGTGCCAGGCACAGGTGGGGGATCCTGCCCTAGAGCATTGTGGGTAGTCAGGAGCAGGGCTCTGAGCTGCAGAAACGTGGGTTCATATCAGCGTGGCTGGTTGGGTGACCTTGAGCCAGTCATTCAAACCTCCCTCTACATACTGCCCTCCTCTCGTGTTACTGAGGCCAATAATAATCTCTACCTCATTGGATAGCTCTGACGATTAACCTACTAACTAAACAATCAACCAACTCACTCACTCACTCTCTCATTCTTTTTAAAAGCATTTCCTGAGTGTCTACTATGTGCCAGGTCCTGAAGCTACGATGCTGAACAAGACAGCCATGGTCCCTGGCAGCTGAGTCTCAGAGCTGAAGGGTCAAGCACCAACACTGCCATGAGCAAGCGAAGGGGCCCAGAGAGAGGCACTGACTTGTCCAAGGTCACCCAGCACGTCTGTGACAGAGCCAGAGTTGAAATCCACACGTCCTGTCTCCTAGTATAGGCCTCATCCTATGAAAACCAGGCATCAGTGACATCAAAGGGACACCTTGCGGGCCCCAAGGCTCCCAGAGCTCCCCTATTCCTTCCCAGGATGCACTGGGGAAAGAATTGGTCTCTATTGTAACCCTCAGCCAGATGCAAGGCAGAGCCATGCTGATGACGAGTGATGGAACCTTCCATAGTGGCACCAAAATGCCAACGAGAAGCTGCTACTCTGAAGAGAGAAGATAGAGATGTCGACAACAGGTTGGGAGGGGCTGAGAAAATCACACCCGACACCTCTCCCTCGAACGGGGGAGTGCCAGGGCTGTCGCCATCTTGACTGGGCATGCACTTTGGCCCAGAAATGCTCTTCGGGAAATCGTACCCCCAAAACAGCTGCACAAGTAACAGAGTCTGTGCAAGGTCATTCATCACAGCAGTGATTCTACTTGAGATAAGGTGCAAAGATTCTGAGGCCCCCATCCCATTCCAGGGGTGCAGGCCTGTGAAGGCAGCCAGGGGGACAGAGCCGAGATGAGAAAGAACAGCAGGAGGGGGTGGCTGGCCTGGGAGGTGACAGTCTCTGTCAGGTGCAGGAACAGGAGGCAGGAAGCTAGGAAGAGGCCAATGTCCCCCCCCCCGCGCCCCCCCCCCCCCCCCGCCCCCCCCACAGAGAAGCTGCTGTGGTTTGGCCACTATTTGACTCCCATCCCACTGTAAAATTGTAATTAAAAAGCAACCTGCACACCAAATGCGCTCTGCACTGCATTCTACCAGGCTAGAGGCTGCCACAATGCAAGAATTCTCCCTGCCAGGTGAATGCCTGGTGCCTGGGCAGGTAGTGGATTTTTTTAGGTGAGTTGGTACCACGTGGGAAGGCTGCAGCTCAGCATCCAATGTCTGAATGGAAGCTGATGGGCTGCAAAGTGCTGGAACACGAGCTCTCTCAAGGAGTCCAATCATGGGACACCAATCACCCTCATTTTATACCAGAGAGACTGGGGGGCTGCCTAGGGTCACACAGCTGGTAAGCAGTAGAGCTGAAATCAGGACATTTCATTGCAAGTATTGATGTAGAGGACGGGCAGACCCCTCCAGGGACCAC